CAAGTTATACCAACTATTCAAATTAACAATGTAAGGGCGACCCTTAAATGAATCAGCACATACAGTGGCTGGTGGTTAGATGCCGTTCGGTACCTTTGGTTCCGGGTGAGACATTCCCCAGCCTCTCCCCCAGCACGTCCTGCCTCGCCCCCAGCCCGCCGAAGCTCCGCCCCTCAACCCAATGTGAAGGAGGGAGGAGCCTCCCTGTACCTCACTGCTGACGCATCGAGATCGATGGCCTCAGTGTTTTTTTTCTTGGACCAATGGCACTTTGCCATTGGTCCAAACCATACACAGAGCTTACGCCTCTAACACAGAGTAGAGGCTGTGACAGCTCTTGCCTCACTAGTTAGGTTACACAAGCAGTGGGGAAGCCTGTCAAAAGCTGGATGCAGCGCTTCCAGTAATTAACAGGCAGCGCTGCGTCCATGAAAGGTTACATAGTGGGAAGGCTTTCCCTAGTATGTAACCTGCTAGAAGCATCGAGAATGGAGAAAATGCTGTCAGCTTCAGACTTGTAGCCGACAGCTTTTACCTCGCTAATACTAGGTGAGGCTCTGCCTCACCTGCGTCCCCTGACCGCACGTCTCTGCCCCAAATGTAGATCTCCACAAGGTTAACTGCAGTCTAAAACAGTGGTTTTCAGCTATATAATACACTAAATGTGGCAGTATCACCTGGCAAAATATCATGTAACTGGTCAAGTCTAGGAAAGATATTTTTTTAAACATTTATGTCTATATTCTACTTCATGGAGCAAATCCAAGCCTTTGCTGCTTGTCTGACTATCCGCTGAAGTGTACTGGTACCTTACGGCCAGCTGGTGTAAACATGGACCCCTCCTTAATTTCTGCTGCTACCGATACTACAGGAACAAGTTCTGCCCTGTCGGGACTGTGTGGGAACAATAAATTGACCTATGAAATGACACTGGCCCTAAAAGTATAGGAATGCTTGTTTAAATCAAGTAATGAATTCAGAGGGATGGACTTTTCCAGTTGATTATAGTATGTCATATGTACTGAACCACTGGAGCGAATTTCTGGGCTTTGATGTGGTTTATTGCACTATTCAATGCACTCTGTACTCTGTCATGCTTTAATTACACCCAAAATCTGTGCTGGTGGCTAGATTTTAGAACATGAAGCCCAAGGTACTGAGAGGATTACATTTACCAAAGTTTACTAAATTGGTTTAGATTAAACAAAATGACAGTGTGTCATAAATAACGTAAGATTCACGGATTTCTTTTCCCTTAGGACTTGTTCGCACCATATTTGTATCATGCCCAGACCAGAACAGTTAGTTCCCAGACCAAAAAAAAAGCATCCCAATGTATCCCTATGGTATTTCTGAGCTCACTGCACTGTGTTTGCACAACTGCTCCAGATCTGGTCTGGACATGGCGTGAACAAGCTCTAAAGGTTCTCATTTAAGTGGACTTGTATGTGATTTGTGACATGCACTTACCCTTTGAGAATCCAGTGCACCCAGGGGTTTATCACCACCACTGCAAATTTCCCATAAGGTGGTGCCAAAACTCCACTTGTCTACCATGGGGGTGAGAGTTTTTGGACTGTCTATACACTCAGGAGCAACCCAGGGAATACGTTCCAAAAGAACTTAATGGGAAAATAAAAAGAAGGCTGAACATGCATCATCATTCATTTAAAACCAGAAATTTATGTAAATTGAAGTAAAAAAGCAGGTGGAAGTGTGTCATATAATATACAAATCAAACCAAAATATGGAAATCTAAACTACACAGAAATTAAAAAAATAAATATCAACCCACCTAAATAATTTTAGTGAAATTAAAATAAAAAGTGCAACTGGAATATTTCCAGGACTGTGTCATGGCCTTGCATAGCTGACCTTAATTTGAAAGTGATGGCTGTCTAGCTGTCATGGTGATCCTATGTGGCATCAATAATTTCAATGTCACTGACCTGGAACAAGTATGCAGCCAGTAAAGTCAGAGAAAACTTTTGGCAAGTAATCTTAAATCTCACAAGCCTGAAAAGCATACTTCAAAGTAATGAAGCTAATCAAGCTAATATACTGTAACAGCCTGGCAACTAGCATTTTCAGAAGAAACCAGCAATGCTATTCTACTTCTTGTCACTCACAACAGGTGATACTGCGCCTGTCATCTATAAAGTATACATTTCTAGAAAAATGTTGTGCTTCCATGAAATAGAGGTAAAGCGCATAGACAGAGGGAATTCCCAGAGCACAATGGGCTACCTAAAGTAGCATCTGCCTAACTGGAACCTTGGACTGAGCTGTCCAATTAAGCACAAGTTACTGCGCCGACTCATCAACTTAAGATTCATCAACTTTAGGATCCAAAAAAACAGGCTTTTCACAACAAGCTGCAAGAATATATGTAAATATTTTAATTTCTATCATCTAAGTCCAGGTGCACTTTAGGGAAAGGGCAGCATAAGCCTTTGACACAACAAATGCTAAGAGGTGGGAAATGTGTTTTAAATAACTGGAATATTACAGTAATTGATTATGTAATTTACCGGAGAAGAATAATGGACAATCTTATAGGTAATACACATATTTTACGGAGATGATTACTTTGCTGAACCAACATACATTTCCTAATTTGCCAAAAAAAAGTGGACTAAGTTTTAAGAAAAAGACATTTAAAGAAGTATCATAACAAATACAACATCATTTTTGAATCTCCCACCAGGGATCCAGTGCACACCACACTTGGTTCTATTCCAATCTGTGCTGTCATTGCTAAGCAGCATGGTCAGACGGTCCCCCCAACGGCTGTCCGACCACACTGCTAGCAAGGAAACGGATACTGTGAGTTCCAGCTCTGGTTTCTGGCAGCAGGAGCTGCTAGGCAGGAGCTCTGTCATTCACTAACGCAGGGGGAGGGGAGCTCTGTCATTCACTAGGGCAGGTGTCTCTTGCTCTCTCTGGCAGCTTCACACTTTGGCACAGAGCCCCGCCCCAGCTCTAACATTAACCCTCTGCTTTCTCCGGCAGCCACACTGGGTACATGACGGAATGAGCAGCGCAGAAAGAAACTACATCTCCCAGCTCTCCTCATTCACTTATGTAACTGTTGTGGCTGCTGGAGAAAGCAGAGTATTATTGTTAGAGCTGGGGTCGGGCTGTCCACCTAACGCATTGAGGAGTGGAGCTACGGCCAGCACTGACAGTGATATCAATCTGCTTTCATTTCAAAATGACAGCACAGTTCTAAATGGGACCAAGTGATGCATGCATTCAGTCCCCTGGGGAATTTTCAAATGTGTTTTAAGCTAAAGTGATAATTCTTCTTTAAGGTTAAGATAAGGCAGTACAAAATGCAATATCCAATTTCAACTAATCACAGATCAGTAAAACATTACATTTGAATGCTTGCTATTGGTTACTGCATGTTGCACTGCCTCATTAAATAACTCTTTTCACAATAAATAACTGACACCCTTACTTTCTCTTGGCAACACTGCAACACTGATTCCTGGATCACTGAGCTTGATGAAAGCAGGATTTCCTGTCTTCCGGTCCTCTTCTCTGATCAGAAGGATATTCTTTAAACAAACATTGCCATGCACTAAATTTCGCTCCTCCTAAAGTATGAAAGAGGCAATGAAATAGAATCAGTCAAAAATATATGTTAAAAAAGGCCAGTTCATGGTTTTCACAGAGCTAAGGAAGAAAGAAAAGGCCATTAAACTACAAAAACTAAGGCTGGCTATTACACACAGAGATCTTAAAATCAGAACAACATCAGAACAAGGTTGTAAGAGGTTTGTTTATGGTTGTCTATAGACACATTGCAGCAACCCCACTCCCTCATTTTGTCTACCAGTGTAAACCGACGTTCCATTTATTCCCTTTTTATGAAGGAAAATCATAAAAGGATATGTCCTTCTGATAGTCACACATAGTTATTATTGCTGGGACATCAACGCCTAGCTGACACAATAGTAGCAAACAATAATTAAACTAGTTCTGTTGCAAATTAACATATTTTTTAAGGGCAGGGCAAATCACGGAGGAGTTGCTTTTTTCTGGATTAGGCAAAAAAATAACCACAAATGTGAATATTAACACCAATGAGTAATAAAAAAAGAATTGTGACTACATTTAACAAACCCACTGCAAGAGGTATACCAGCCGCCCAAATATACAGTTTGTTCATTATAAGGTGATCCCGCCCAAAACTGACAGTTTAAAGGAGAACCATGGGGTTAAGGCTTTTCCCCATAGTTCTCCTTAGGGTAACGGGAGGACACAAACTAGCTTCCTCCCGTCACCCCAGGCTCAGTATACTGAGACGCCGCAGTATACCGCTAGCTGCTGCTCGCGGTATACTGAGACGCCGCAGCTGAAGCGGATCCCGACAATTGTGCCGTGATCCGCCCAGCTGTGTGACTGACAGCCGGCTCTGCCTATCTAGAGCAGAGCCAGCTGTACCCGCCCCCTCCCCCGTCCATTCCGCCAGTTAGCGCTGGCGGATCGGGGAGGGGGGAATCCAGCCCCTCCCCTGTCACGGCAGAGAGCCGTGACAGAATCGAGAGGTGAGTGAACGCCGGTATGTGTTCGCTCACCTCCCGATCTACTGAGCCAACCTGTGACAGTCTCATTGTCACAGGTCGGCTAGAACTATGAGGTGAGTGAAAAGCACTCACCTCATAGTTCTCCTTTAAGTTCAGATCGATGTTGGTGGATTGCATTGCCCCAGAACACTTTGTTATGCAGTGACAGTTCAGAATATGTGTGCTTAGGCTCATAGGATTCAATAAAACATATGGTCATAACATTTATTAATTTTTTTTGACAAGAACTTACATTGCCAAAGAAAATAAAGTTAACTTTTAAACCACAGATAATGATCCTTAAGCAAAAGTTACCAACAGGAATAACGCTTTTGTGTTATTAATAATTTAAACAGCAAGTACTATTAGACATGTCATAAAAAATGACCAGGGAACCATACAAAGTCAAGTGAGGTCACCATGAAACACCAGTTAGCAGGGCAGGACTTTCGATCTATAAAAACACTACTGATAGTGTTATGGTCCAGTTTTCAGACAGTCTGCTCAATGTCTGATAAAATGCGTGTTGATGTTGATAAAAAGTACATATATATGGAAGCACAGAAATATTGAATTTATAAAACCCAGCCCTCCAATTAAGTGGAATACCAGACACTCTAGTACAGTCTTTCTCAACCAGGGTGCTGTGGCAACCTGGTGTGCCTTCTGGCTTCCTCAGTGGTCTCTCGAAATTTTCACACACAGTCATGCCTCTGATGTAAAGAAGGCACCTGATGTGAAAGAGGGGGACTCCGATGTGAAAGGGGGAATGTAATGTTACGGGGACTCTGCAGTGAAGGGGTAATCCCTACTTTAGGAATGGATTTTGGAGGGACCACATGTGCTGCTCTAGCACACAATACATGTAGCTTAGCAATTATTTAGTCACACTGGCATCAATAAAATGTTTCCAGGTATAAGATATATTGTATGTCAACAGATTTTTGCTAAAGCAACCAAGACTGCTTGTGCTTTCTTAATCATCAGTGTATTATGTGCTTCTTAGGGTATCCCTTAAAAGTCATACAACTTCAACCATTCACTGGCTTTATATATATTCTTGGGGAACTTCGGTGTAAATATATCCTTTCCAGAAGTCCTGGCTTTGCTCCCTGTCTGTCATTAAAAAGCATTCACGAGTGCCATGCTACCCTTCACGGTTTATACACTATTTAAGCATCTAGCAGCAAAAAAGTAACACCTACATAATGGATTTAGAGATTGGGATTACAGAAGGGATATCACTCTACTAAAGTATAGGAATGTTAAGAAGCTTTAAAGAGAATCAAACCACTGGCAGCACCTTAGCCTAAAAAGTCAGCTCTGGGTGGACATATTCTTAAATAGCAAGTAGATGCCTAACTGCAATAATTATATATAATAATATATATAATTGATTTAAGCATTAAAAGTGGGACACATGTTAATATATAAAAACCCATTATAGTACAGTTACGAATTCATTTAAAAACATTAAATAATATATCTATGTACCATGTTAAGCGCTGCTCAAACTGTTGGCGCTATATAAATCCTGTATAATAATAATAATAATGTTACATGCACCGGGGATTACAGAAGAAAGTACTTGAGCAGTTTGGACTAGGATGAAAAAGCACAGGGACAATGTTTATTCATAGTCAAATATACAGGTAGATGACACAGGAAGCTGCAGAAGTAAACAGTGCCATCATCCTGCTTGTTGAGCACAGTGAGTTGTGTGAATCTCAAGAATTGATGAACAAAATATCAAATCATTTGGAAGGTAACTTCATATAAATGTATTTGGATTGTAAATGTAGTTGTAGACTTTAAGGGATAACAGTGCATATAAACACCACAAGTCCCAACAACCCTCCTCACCACCCCCAACTCCCCACCGGGAGAGGCAGTTTCTCTTTAGGATCTAATAGAGAAGCCATCTCTCTGCAGGCTTGGAAGAAAATTGCTTCAACAGTAGGTCCAGTGGAGAAGTGGCTGTGCAGAGGAGTAAAGGGCATGGCTGATGGAGGAGGTCACCAGGGAGGGCGAGGGGTACAGCCGGGACTTATTTACGCATACGTATAGGTATTGAGCTGACAATACAGTGCCTCTGCTGCACTTACTACCCATGGAGTTCTATAAGCCCTGCCCAGGTTACCTTTGTGGACTACTTCCCCCTATGTTATGTTATGGAGATAAAGAGAGGGGGAAGTGTAGTAGTCCAAATCAGAAGCGAGCAGCCTATGGTAAAAATGCTACTCTTTCATAATAACAAACAGTGATAGAATAGATTTCACAGTGGGTTAGTATTGTTACCCTAGGACAAAGTGTGTTACTAGCAGGACGCCAAGTAAAAATAGAGAATGAAAAAAGAAAAACTGATGTATCTACCAAATCTAAGGACTTGTAATCTGCAACATAAAATATTTGGTCTTGATCTCAGACACATTTTAGCTATGGTAGTTCTATGGAGAACTAGATTTGGAATGCTTAAAGGTTACCATTCATTTTATGTAAGACTTACATGTCATTCCATTCTGAACATGTCCTAATATGCATTAGGTAGTATAGTTTAAACTATACCATGCTTGATAAAGAATAGCTAAAACAAAAAATTGGAATACTGTATATGTGTAGGGCAATATAGAAAATGCATAAAGCTGTCTAAACAATGTTACATGCGGTTTTCAAAGTAGAAGGAGTATAGGAATATTGGAATATTATCTTTATGCATTTGTGGAATAATTGTTTGTGGTCTGTGCAGATACTGCAATCAACACCTATAAATCAATCTTTGCCGTTTTAAAAACAGGTTTTAATGCAAGGAAGGACAAATTAACAAGGAGTTTGGAAGCCAGTCTGTCAAATCCAGAAGCCAGCAGGATTTTCATTAGGAGCCAGCTCCATTGACAACCACTAGAGAAAAGCTCAGAAATTAGGAGCCAGCCTGGGGGTTTGTCCAGCCATGTTTTAATGCTGTGTTTACTTCATACAGTAACATACTGTACATAATAACCAGGCAAATGTTTAAAGTGACATTAAACCCTCAGATTTTTTAACATAAAACAATACTGTAATGTGTGCCTTACTGTAATCCATGGTTGTTTCCCTTCTCTTTGCTGCTCTTCCTTTTAAATCTGTATCTGTTCTTATGCTGGGCAGAACTTCTGTTTTGTAGCAGACTGCCTTGTCTCTGGAATGGATACATGGTGTCTGTGTGTAGGTTCACAACCTGAGCCAGCACTGCAGGAAGAGGCACTCAGCTGCAAAGGGAAGTTCTCCCCCAGCATGAGAAGAGATACGGATTTAAAAGGAAGTGCAGCAAAGAGAAGGGAAACAACCATGGATTACAGTAAGGCACACATATTACAGTATTGTTTTATGTTAAAAAATCTGAGGGTTTAATGTCACTTTAAGGCATTATCTTGCACCTTACTTAACCTGTGTTTTCAGGATCATGCGCAATTCAATCACAAATTGCAATAGTCTTGAACATGTTTCAATGACAAACTTAAGCAGTTATAGAGTTTAAAAATATAAAATGAAAACAATAAATAATTCAAAGTAGCAGGGCTTTCTAGGAAACTTGTAAAATACTCACAAGAAAATGCATGGCCCATGCCAGCTGTTTTGAAACGTCCAATTTCCACATAATATTAACTGTGTTTTTCTTTTTCTTCAAGTAGATATCGAGTGACCCAAACTTTGCATATTCTTGCACTAGAATACCTTAGAACAGGATACAGTTTGTGAAGATTTACAGCAGACATGACAAACAATGTAATTACTATTTACATATATTTATTTAACAAATAAAGTCCCTTTAGAGCCAGTATATTTTAGTTACCATTCATATAAATATACACTAGAGAAAAATACTACTATACTTACTCTCATCTCCACACACACAGACTCCATAATTCAGGATCAAATGCCTGTATGAAAGCTGGCTCATCATGCTTGCTGCTTCAAAGAAAGACTAAAAACACAAAACAAAACAAAACAAGAGAAATGAAATAAATTAGGGACAAACAAGCCACCAGACACCAATTCAACTAATAATCTGAATTTGCCATTTGTCAAAGGCATATACTTGTTGATGTGAGTTCTAAAACATTATAAAAATAAAACAGATGCCAATAAATATTACATTGTTTGCACACAATACAATTAAAATTGGCATTGCCATTCTATAATTTAATAGGTATATCCAAAGTAAAAACAGTGAAGCGCCACGGACTGTCAGTTCTTAATAGGACTTGCTTTTAGGCATACTGCAGGATGCTGCCCCAAAGAAGCCGGGAAAGCTGGAAATCTAGGAAATAAGCACAAAGAGGGGCGCCTTTCCTGTGCTTATTTAATAGGTATATCCTTCTGCTTTAACTTCTCATGGCATTGAGTGGCTGGAAATTTATAAACAGCCATATTCAGGTGGGAACCTGGCACTGCATTTGCAGCCTGTGTCTGGATTGTGCCAAGAATTAACATTGAAAGTCCCAGCCACACAAATGCATAGATGATACCTTTATTTAACACACAGACGCACTTCAGCAGTGTATAACATTTTATTTTCAGCTGGCCTATTCACATATCTGCACGCTGAAAAATTCCAAATGCTCTAGTCTGCTGTGGTAGTGCATTTGGAAACAAAAGCAGATTATAATTTACATTAACCCAAGTTTTTGTGTGCTTTTGACAGGATTTATGAAGATCTCCTGGTTTTAAATGTTTAACAAGAGATACTCTTAGAAACAAACAAAAAAAATAATACATAGCACAGAAAACACAATTTAAAATATACTAAATGTACATCATAAAAATGTACATAAATCATGTACAGTTTCAAAAATCCTAGGCGTGAATGGGTATTGGGATGCTACTTAAAGCGGACCTTTACACTCAAACATCAAATTGTACCAATGCATCACTCTATATATGATGACTAATAATAACATAGACATGTCAGGTGTAAAATGCTGTGATTTTGAAATACTTACACTTGCAGAGCATTCACTTCCTGCTCTGAAAGTGCAAATTAGTTCAGTTTGCCAAAGCAATGCACACTGGGATTGCCTTGTCATCAGCAGAGCATTGCTAGGAAATCTCTTCTGTAATCTCAGGAGATCTCAGGGAAAGGCATGTTCCTCCCCTGATGATGTGCATGGTTACATGTCCTAATCACATGTCTAGTCATATGTGCCAGAAATCCAGGATGTAAAAGGAGATCTAGCAATCTGCCCTTAGTAAACATGGCCACTGTCAGAAGACTGGGAAAGAAAAGATAAATAAGTTATGCGAAGAATACAAAGCCTGCAATTATCTAGAAGTATGTGTTTGTAGATTGTCATTACTAAACATTTATAAAAGGTGTGTATGTTGTTATTTTAAAGATATGGGTAAAGGTCCGCTTTAAAACGGTGGGCCTACTAAATCATGAAGAAAAAAAAAATAAAAAATCACAATTTACATTAATCAGTAAGCTGTGTCATAATTATGAATTTGCTTTAATGTTCAGTAAAGAGTAAGGTATTAATCTCATGATTTAAAAAAATCCATTACTAATAAGCTCCCACTGTGACCAAGCATAGACCAAAAAATCAGGTGGTCTATGGCAAGGGTATGCAATTTCCAGCCCTCTAGAGTTTGCCTACCCCTGGTCTATGGCATTCAGGAATATGATGGACGTTTACATCATTATAGACTGCAGAAAATACATTGTTTTTTGTTGCCAGACTTGGTCTGCTAGACTTGCAGTAGATACATATATCACATATAATTAGCCTTTAATGTCACTTTATGAAGCAGAGTTTATACATGTAATGAGCAAATATGGTCACCAATGTACATTTAGAATTACAAACTATACATGGACTCAAGCCTGCATCTTTCACATATATATTGTATATCAGGGCTGAAAATGTCAGGCCCTGAGCTACTAGCCAGGCCTTAAGAGTTACTCGCCACCAGTTGCCCCACCTAACCCCTACCCTGCCCCGGCCGTACCTCCGACAGCTCAGCAGTGTGACGCAAAGTAGAGATCAGTAACAACACAGAGTGCAAAGGTCAGTGGTGTAATGCCAAGTACAGAGGTCAGTAATGTAACGCACTGTACAGAAGTCAGTAATGTAAAGCACAGATGTCAGCGGTGAAAGGCAGAAAGAACAGGGAGTTACAGTGCAAATAGCTAATCTGATTTAGGTGCCCTCTTCCTCTCCTGCCTTTTTTCTCTTCCTCTCCTGATTTAGATGCCCTTTTCCTGGTGGTGCTGGTGGGGGGGGGGGGGGGATTGTTAGAAGCATCACAGTTCCTGATTTTAATTTATTTTTTTTTGCTATAAAAAAAAAACATTTAACTGTGGCAGCGCATTGCAATGCTTTGTGATGCATTGTTGTGCGTTGTGATACCTTGTGTTGCAATTTAATGTACGCCTGTATCATTTTATCACAACACAAACAGCAACACTGAGCAAAATTAAAATTTTGCAAATATTTGTTTATAAAAACTCAATACAGTTTAATCTTTTAGGATTTAGTCAAAATTTTTTTTTTTTGTGCGCTGATACTGATTTTAGTGCTTTATCAATTGTGAAGTGTATTTTTATCGGTTTAATATGAATTTGAGAAACATTTGCGCAATTATCGCAGGGCCTACAAATTTAGTAGCACCATCTTTTTATTCTACCGGGCCTGCGCTTTCAGAAAATATACGGTTTGGGTTTTTTTTTGTTTTGTTTTACAAACGCTAGCAACGCAGCAATTGCAAATCAAATCAATGGGTAAAATTGCAAAAATGGTGTGGCCAGCTGAGGTGCAAAATGTTCTGGAGGGCTTGGCAGCGAAAGGGTTAATGGATAGCTGTAGTGGAAATCATAGTAAGTTTTCAACATGCAATGCCTTTCAACAGCGAGACTAAGATACCTGTAACCTTGAAAAGCATGCTATGATTTCCACAACAGTTAGTCAATGCAAGTATTACTCTAGTTAGCTTTACTATGATTCTGTTTCTATTTATTTTGTAAAAATACTCAAGCTATTGTTCATTGGTTTGTGACCCAGACTGCCTACAAGCCAACTGCTGCTCAACTGAGCACAGGTTAAACCGATTCATAAAATAAAAAAAGATCTTCTGTGAGTTATACAAATTTCTCTTCTATCTTTTCTATCTCTTGATAAAAAAAACCAACAAGCTTGCCAAACAATCCCTGAACACAAAAGGGGTTAAGAGCCAATATATTAGAACAGTGCAGTCCAGAAATTCAGTTCTTACTGAGGGGAAGAGTTCTAAATGTTAAGGAAATGTTTATAACTGCACTTGGCAAATGAAAGGACATTTGGCATGTAGCTTCAGTATCTCTGATATATCTTGTGCTCTATAGAGATAACCATAATGTCTACTTAGTATCTGTACTAGCAGGCCATTACAAATGTAAGCCATGGGTCACTAGGTAAAGGAGCAGAAATAATTCAAATTTGAGTAGTTCAACAATATTGAAATATGTGTACTGTTCCATTTCCTATACACAGATAGCTACGAGCACATTTCTGTTTCAGTTAGACTACAACCATAGATCACTGGGATGAAAACAAACCTCAGAATAATTTCTATGCGTCTTATCCAAAACCTTTAGAAGAACTTCCGTTTCATGAACCTGATTGTAGTCGCCTGTCTCCTCACGTTTGCCTCGGAATATCTTGGTAAAGGTACCCTGGCCAAGATTTTCCAGCTGTAAAAACATTGTAGCAACGTAAACATTAATATACACATACAAGTAATTACCATAATTATGAAATCTATAATTTTATGCAAATGCTGCATAACTATTTTCAGCACCTTTTTTCTCAGAATAATATCTCACAGAATCTAATGTAGATGAAATGCATATGATAGATATTAATATGTCACATTCTGATGAGCTAAATTACAAGAACATTTAGTTGGAACGCTAATGACTCGGTTTCTATAACAGCAGAGCAGACAAAGCATAACAACTGCAATGCTGTTCCTTCAGAAAGACCTTGCTTTATATTATACAGGTGTTTGTAATAGGATTCCTATGAACTTTCATTACAGCAGAACTGAAGTCAAAACTTTTTTGTTGTTGTTGTTTTGGATAAAGTAAGGGGGGCTACAACCAGTCAGTTTTTATTTGCTATCTATATACCATTGGGGATATTTCCCTTCACATCCTGTCCAACAGCCAGAGCAGGAAGTGAAAGGAAATCTCTCCAAAGAGAAAAATCCCTGGTGGTCCAGCAAAGTCATCAGAACTGGTGCCCGACTGGAATATTTCGCTTGTTCCTACGACAACCCAAAATGTAAGATTTTCTTTCACTTTCAATGATCACGTTCATCAGGACAAAGAGAGAGAGTGCATCTCACTAACGGGAACATGGACAGCAATGAAAACCTGAAAGTTGTTATAATCCCTCTCCACTCTATGGAAAACAAAAAAAGAAAAAAAAGTTTTGGCTTCAGTTGCACTTTAATAGTTAGGGCATTAGGGCCTATTAACCCCTTCGTGACTGACGACGTACAGTGTACGTCGCCAGAGGAGGTCTGTTGTGCTAACATGCATAAGGTCATTTAAATAGTCTGCCAACACAACAGACCAAAAATTGGACCTGCACTTTTTTTTAATGCAGTGTATAACTGTGTGTTGTGGTGCACTGCAACATAGGTGCTTTATTTAACTGCGTTGAGGCTAAACAGAAGTACAAATACTAAGTAGGTAAACAGTTAAACAGTTGGCTCACATACAGTATATAAAGCAAAAGAAAGCAAACTAAATAAAACATACGTAAGTCAAGTCTTCACTTCTGATCTTGTGAAAGACCATCTGATTCACATTAGTGTGCCGATGTAAAGAAGGCGACAATGGGACTTCTGATACTCTGTTGCTCCTGAAGATAATCAGGTTTGATTTCTCTATAAAATGACAAACATTTTATTTTATATAAAGAGAAGAGAGACATACAATTACCTTTCTGTAAATGTAGTCCATTCCTATTACACAATCACACTGTATTTGAACTCTTGTTTAATTTCAAAATATTTAAATGAAATGCATTACTTTTTACATCTGTTTTTCTTGTAACTCTGCTATAGTCATTTAATATTTTGCTATTACAGAACATATCTATTACTAGTGATGCTTGCGTTGAAGGAAAAAAATTTGATTTTTTTATACTTGCCATAAAATCTTTTTCTTGAATTCAATTGAGGGGCGCAGGAAGGTAATACAGACACTCTTCAGTATTTGATGGGGTTACGTTCAAATAAACCCATCGTAAAGTGATTGTATCGCAAACCAAGGAGGTGTATAACATGAGATATTCAACACTTTATCATCAAATACAGTAGGCTTCTGTCCATCTGTAGGTTAATCTAAGTGTTTTAGCCAAGTTTAAGTTATGCCAAGCAATGATATATACAGTACAGTATATACACAACCCAAGGAGCATCTGTATACAGTATATATGCGCTGCTACCGTATATGATTGTAAAGTCGAAAAATTGTAAATCGAACGATCATAAACCGTGGAGCACCTGTAATTGGGTTACATGCTGCTGTCTTTAGGAGGTTTGGACACTGGCAAACAGAACTAAATGTTGAAGGCCAGCCCCATAACTCCACCCATAACTGGCATGCGCCAGATTTGTGAGCAAGCACTACATAGGGCCAATAAACGCATTGGAGTGGGACCCATGTCCCTTAATGGACTTCAAGAAAAATATTTAATTTTAATGTAATTTCCTCAATTACCCATTGAGGGATACAGGAGGATAGTAATTCTTAGACATTTGGGATGTCCAAAAGCAGTCCAACTGAAGGGGTGAAAAAAATGTGACAAAAAAAAAACAAACAAACAACCTCTTGAAAAAATCACTGGAGTGCAGTAACTTCAGAAGCAAATGATGTACAAAAAAAAGTTAGAGTGGAGCTACAAGGGAAGACCTGAGTTTCCAAACTGCTAGGTGATAAACCCATAAGGGATCTAGCATTACAAACAATACCCTCACCCTTGCAGGTGCATAGGTAAGTTTTATGTAGAGAGCTGAGCAGATGAACCAGAGGAATTTTGACCTTGAGATCTGCACTTTAAATGGGAGGTAGACTGTGATCATCTACGTGGTACTACTGTAATAGAAGAAGTGTTGATTCTCTGCCCCATTCCGGGATCTTCTGTGTTGATGCAGGTAGACATTTCAAGCACTAGAAGCATCAGAAATAATTGTGTCAAAGGCACAAGCAAAGAGGGACTTATGCTGAAAGGGTAAGCATGCGCAGCATGCCAGGCTTGAAGCCAAAGTGCCCCATGTATGTGAACAAAACACCTATGCAAGACACTAGATTCGATACTTGCAAGAGACCACTGCAGCTCAACTGCAAGGCACCAGACAATTGATCCAAAAGCTCCAAGATGCAAGGGTTTAACTTTGGAATGGAGCAGTCTCGTTTAAGAGAGTGGATCCATACTTGCATGTGAAATACGAGTCAGCGCCAATAAGGGACGAAAAGTTATAACAGACAATGCAAACTGAGACCCAATTAGGGGATCTAACTAATATACCGTTATCATCCACCAGTTTAATAACATTTTTGTTGATGTGAATGACTGGAGCATCTACAGTGGGTAAAGACCATTTGTCACTCAATTCCTTTTCAAAGGGAAAAAGCTCCTTCACATTGTCGGGAGAAAGTCATGAATCCATAGGTCGCTTCCTCATAGAGAAAGGATTTAGATAGCGAGTGTACAGGGAAGGTCTGAGAAGCTGTTAAAGACCATAAGCCTGGTTGGGCTGTATGTACAGCTTTTGTACAATTGTATACGATATTTACATATGCGAAAACCAAATATTCTTCAAAATCAATAAAATTGATTGAACAAAAAGCCTGGTACAATAGGCCAATCCTTCAATTGGCAGGCATAACATACTGCATCACAGTATCAAAGACTCCTTGTAAGGTAAAGTCAAATGTAACTTGTTGAAATACAGGCTATTCAGGAGAAGGCTGTAAATCTTCTGCATCTAATGATCTGATAATAGGATTCTGTTGTGAAAGGCACCGGAGCGTGTTTGGAACCCCTGCAAGCCGATCACTGCATCAATTGTGCACAGACTGATAAAAAATCTGAAGTGGATATTAAAAGGTCTCATGCTGCGGAGCCATGTATGACTCCAGAGAGGACAAGCCAATATTAATATGGGTCCCAGGATTGATGTTGCAGGTGTCAGTCCATTATGGGAAAGTCATGAAATCACAATGGAGGAGTATGGGTTGAGGTCCCCCACTGCAGCGGGACCGCCGTCTGTATGACAATGTCTTATTTACTCAAACAAGCTTGTGATGATGATAGTCAGAGGTGGCTGAAGGTGACCAAGTCAATCTAAGCAGGCAGTGGAATTGAACCACAAGGTTTCGATGAAGCGGGTGCTGCAACAGGAAGGTGCTTCCTCCAGATTGATAGGTGGGAAAAAGAATGTGGTGTGTGTACAAAATACTCCCATTAGCAGATGATGTCAGCACTCCCTTCCCTCACTCTTAACTATCACCATGCCCAGATGGTGATGATGAGAAAATGTAAAAGATGAGAAAATGTAAAAGATAAGAAATTGTAAAAGGTGAGAAAATGTAAAAGGTGAGAAAATGTAAAAGGTGAGAAAATGTAAAAGGTGAGAAAATGTAAAAGGTGAGAAAATGTAAAAGGTGAGAAAATGTAAAAGGTGAGAAAATGTAAAAGGTGAGAAAATGTAAAAGGTGAGAAAATGTAAAAGGTGAGAAAATGTAAAAGGTGAGAAAATGTGCAACTGTGAGGTAGCTCCCAGCACTTCAGTCTGACCGGGGTAACTCATTGTGTTATTTCTTAAAGATTGGGTTGCACCTGTACATTGACTATAAAAATGGAAAGCACTTTGCAGCTAACTCAATACACATATACTCCTATACAAATGTGGGAAGTGTCACAAGGAAAGCTCAGTGTCTGAAGGTCACAATCTAAACAAATCCCATAGGTTTACATAGCCAATGCATCTGGAAAAAGCTATGTAAATGGTGACATAGTTTAGGCCAGGTGGCCTTACTTAACAAGCGAGTCTGCAGAGACTATGCCATGGTTCTGGACCTGCAGAACGCTAACACACTACACAAAGGTCTGGAAAGCGCAACAATGTGGAATCCAGTGCGTGAAGGTCACATTTCAGGTGAGCCCACAAATTACAAGTCTTGTGGGGTATGGGCTTCCAATGCTGGGCTGAGGAAATACTAATATGCTTTAAGCCCAAAAGCCTTACTCACAAAAGGGAGTCTTCCGAGACAAAGTGACTTTGCCTGAAGAAGAAACCGGTGTGCATTCTAAAATGTTGCTATACATTCTGAGACTTGATTGGATGTCAATAAACAAGGTCTGACATTCTTGCAACCCAGAAGTGCTGGTGATTTCTTCACTTATTGTTGATCTGAGACTGGGTTACACTAGAGACTGTGCCACAGCTCTAGACCTAAAAAGTGTTCTGTGGCTAACTAACACAGCACACAAAGGTCTGGAAAGGGCCAAAAAGCAGAATCCAGCGTCTGAAGGTCACATTCCAAAGAAGAAAGAATATCCATGGAGTATCAGATCCATGATAGAAGAGAAAAATCGGAGTGAAAAAATATAGTTAGTTTCCTCAGCAGAGCTAAGGAAATGGAGGTCAACTTCCTATGATACTAACAATAAACTGAAGCTGACAGCTAGGACAGAGTTATACAGCGGCTGGCATTCAACATTTATTTTTACCCAAAACCTCCTAAAAGCAGCAGCAAATAAACCATTTGTCGTACAAATACTATCCTTCTGTGTCCCTCAATCAATAATTAAGAAAAACAAATTAAAGTTAGTAATATAAGAAGAAGCTTAGCCATACACTACCAAAGCTGTATAACTGGCAAAAATCGGTCATACATTACTAGCAATAACTGGTAAACATTAGTGATTTTTAAGATAAACCACAGGAGCTGGAAAGGCTGCCCTGTGTAAGCTACATGTCGCTCATTGCTTACACGTGCACGTGGACCTTCCCCATGCGACAAGTTCATCCATATCCAGATGTACCAGGTATTATCTTTGTTCAAATGCTATTGGGCAAAGGGGCAGGGGACTGAAGGAAAACAATATGTAAGGCTGGGGCTGGGAGTGTAATTTAATACAAATTGCAAAAATCTTAAAACTTTGGGATGAGTTGATTGAAAGTTGAGCAAAGTAAACAACTTTTTTTTTTAACTTTTAATGCTATGAGCAAGAATGTTCAGTCAGATTAATTTCACCTATTTTATATGGATTGCCACTTCAACCTCTCCAGCTATATTTTATGTGCCTCAGGGACTTCATTGAAACTTCCAGAAGGATGCATTAAGGAATTAAATGTAATAGGCAACTTAATGAGCTAGTCATGTAATTGCTGAAATATTCACTAGGCCATTAGTAGACATCTCAGTCATAATAACAAACATATTCTCCACAGAGCAAAATTGGCTTGGCTCTTCAACTTGCATTGTAATGAACACACTAAGAGAATAGAACTATGGGCGCTCCTGCTGTACACTTGTTTTTAAATGTGCGGGGTTAAGCTCTGTCATCGTTATCATTACTTTACTATGTAGGGGGTCATCGCAAACAAACATTCAGTGCAAGCCTTTATATTTTTATGACGCCACCATCCACATGTTTATTCCAAATTACTGCATCTTTAAAAACCAAGTCTGCAGTTGCAAGTTTACATATTTCTATCCTGACTAGTTCTTTTAATGCTACTCTATTGCCATTAAAATAAAGACCACCATGTCTGACCTTTGGGTTTAGGAGGGCAGCATCGAGTAAATTGGAAAATGATGCCATCTGAGCGGACGGTCTCTTTTTGGTAGCAATTTAACAAATCTTTGAGTGTGCAAAAATTTTTCTTGGCACCTCGTAGGTTGTATTCCCCATTTGAAGTTTTTGAAATCAAGCAGTGCTTATATTCAGGTACTCCAGAACGCTGAAAAAAATAAACAGAAAAAAAATTAACTCAATGTAATAAAAACTCATTAATTCTAAATGTTATGAACCTTTTATATTTACCTCTACTGCAAATGTGAGGAAGTACTTGTTAAATTCTTTAGGACTGCATCGTAGTATGAAAATTCCTTTCTGGCTTCCTGCTTTTTTGAGCTTTTCAATGGCAAATTCCATTCTATGAAGCAGGTGGGGGTGGAGAGAGACATAATTAACAAGTTGACCAATAATATACTATTATTTTACTAAATTTTTGGAGTAAAATAATAAAAAAAGGGGTAAGAAGTGCAAAAAAAACAAAACAGCACCCTGTTGGAAGGATGGTGACAAATAATAGCAGGGACAGTAATGGCCCAAACGCATTATATGACAAGTTTCAGAACTAGGTGAAGATAAATGTCTGTGGGGGCTAAGGGAAGAGGGGAATAGTAATTGTGCCCATTAAAAACCACATCAGAATGCTATGGATTTGTTTTTAAAAGGCCAATGCCAGAGTTATTTGCAACGTAGATCTCTTGTTCTGCTCCATAGTCTTAGACTTTAACAGTCACCTGATGCAACCATTCTTGTTTAGGTATGTGGTGACTGGCACACATGCCTAAAGCGGAACTCAAAGATTTGAAAAAGTTAACCCTTGCAGTGGAGCTACCCTCCCACTGCAAGGGTTAACGGCTCCTTTTGTCTAGGAAGCAACAATAAAGAAGATATACTCATCTGATCCTCGATCCTGCCTGGCTGCTAGACTGATTCCCAAAGCCTATTCTCCCCCAGGCTCTGGCGGCCTAAGAATCTGCAACATCATCACATCTAATACAGTGTATTAGGACACAAAGATGCCGAAGGACATATCACAGCCAGAGTGGAGGGGGAGATTAGTGAGCAGTAACTACTGAGGATTGTGTGAGTATATCTTTTTTATTTTCACGTGCAGACCAAAACGAGCAGTTAACTTTTGAAGTGCAAGGGGGTAGCCCCACTGCAAATCCTGAAGGTCTATTTTAAAGGTGGTAGGATTATGCCAGCAAATCCAACTGCTATAGAGTATATAGCGAGCTTAGCGTAAACCGACAATTTAGGGGCAAAACTAGGTCACAGTAAGGCAGCAGATAATATTAGCTTTGGCATGCTTAGTCAGGCATTACAGACAACTTTGGCACCTCTGTATGATAAAGCACTATACAGAGAACAAACCATACCAACAGAAAACATTGGGCACTGGCATCAAACAATGAAAGAAACAAATGAAAGGCATTACTTGCAAATCTGCTGTCCACAGCAGCTAATGAGAAATATTGTTTACTCTTTTATAAAGTTATGTGTCAGTATAATTTGAAATAGAAAATTACATAACAAGAAAGCTGGAAAAAAAAACAGCCCAAGATGTTTATCAAAAATCCATCTGCCTCAGTAAGCAACGAATATAACACAGGTTCCGTCACACAGCTTCTTATTCCAATCCCTTATTAAATATCAGATGAACAGTACATGTCATAAACCTGCGGTTCATCGGATATTTAATAAAGGATTGGAACCGATGTTATATTCACAACTTTTACGTACCCTTTCTTTTATAGTAAATACAGTAAGGGGAATCGCGCATCAAGATATGCCCTGTGTTTGAAATAGTCGCTGACAGCGAAGGTACTGTGACGCATACAGGCATGGACCAGCCGTGCGTAATGGTAAATCTGACCCTAACCATTTAACAGAGAGCTCATAGTAGGGTTAGCTTTGTGAGACAAATATAACACTTTAGGCAGAGGTCAGACAGTGGGGGAAATTTATCAAAACTAGAGCGGACAGACTCTGGAGTTGCACATGAACTAATCAGCCTCTCTCTTCAGTTTGCTCAGGTAAGATTTGAAAATGAGACAGAGAAGCTAATTGGTTGCAGTGCAAATCTGCTCCAGATATTGTCTGCCCCAGTTTTTATACATTCCCCACAGTGAATTTTGGATCAATATGAACATAATTTGTATCTAGTTTCCCTTTATGGAAATGTGATATACTGTATACCAAAACACAGATATGGATTAAAATGTTCTGAAAGTTCTAATACAGGCAACAGGTGATGTCAATCAATCAAGGACACACGGTGCTGAAATCCATTTCAGCCAGCCTTTGCAAGATCCTCACAAATACTGCTGGGTAAGCTTCCTGTCAAAGCCCGCCGGCCATATAATGCAGGATCAGAGGGACAAATAGAAAAAGAATTTGATCAGCAGCCATTTAAAACGGTTTACAGGTTTACTTTAAATATTCTGATGCATGGAAACTACTTAACCGGCAACAAGCCTAATACAGCAGCTGATGCCGCTATTAGTCAACAAGGCTTTGTGACTGAAAATAACAAAGCTATTTTCCTGTTGCCATTTTTATTTGTTTTTCTAAAGGGAAGCTCTTAATAAACGACATAGCTGTCTTCTGGAAACCACCACTGACTTTGAAGCTTCCCTTCTAAACACTAATAACTTGTGGGTAAACACACCACATACTATGTACACAATATTGAATAAAGAAGTAAATCATTCACCTCATATGACCTCCCCCCCTCATCCAGCACACAAAAAAGGTACTAGAAAAAGGAATCCAAAATAGTTATTTGGCTGCTGTTTTTAATATGTCTGCATTGGTTGCTACATCCATCTGCATGGATTCAACATCTTGGCAAAGACTGAGCAAACATTTTAACACTCACCAGGTTTAGAAGCTGCCTAAACTCTTCAAATCATGAGCACATTTTACTCTATAGCATTGTCCTAACCAAACTAACGAGCTTATCTAGTTTACTTAAACTTGTATCTGTCAGGACATGCATATGCAACAAGGTGTGAAAAAGAGTGGAAATAAATGGCCAGATCACTACCTCCAATTTCCCCAAAAGAAAAAGAAATCCCATTCTCTTCACTAACAAAAGACATTTCATGGATGATATCAGCAATTGCAGATACAGTTTTTTCTCTCATTACAAGTTTCCTTAAATATTTACCACTTTGAGAAGACGGAAATCCCTGGCACACATCCTCTGGTGCTAATTGGCAGCACTCTACACTGAGTGGCCAGATTATTATGACCACCAGACGTTTGTAGGCAGATTAGCTATAATTAGCTATAATTTTGCGCTGAAGTTGCTAGAGGGCCAGACCATTATAAATAGGGAAGCGGGTTGTTTACCACGACAGTAGAAGTGATTTTTTTCTGAAGATATGGGCAAACAACGCGATTTAACAGCCTTTGAACGTGGGATGATTGTTGGCGCGAGTATCAGCAAAACAGCAGAATTCGTTAAATGTCCAAGAGCAGCTGTTGTTAAAGTGTTTAAAGACTGGACTGTCAGCCGAACCTCTGGGTCTGACTGTGCGAATTGTGGCCGTCAGCAACTAGTCAATGTTAGGGCAGAACGGAGAGCGGCAAGACTGGTACAAGACAACAGAAGGGCAACAGTGCAGTGTCAGATTCCTCGCATCACCTTTCAACATCTCGTGGAGTCACGAGGCGGCCCAATTAAGTCGTCTCGTGGGTCATCACGTGGCCCAACGAACTACTGATGGGGTGGTCATAATATTCTGGCCACTCAGTGTACATGGCCAGTGTGTGTCTGCTTACGAAATCACTGGGTTTTAAAAGGATGAATTTAAGGTAGGATGGTAGCCATAAGGTGGCAGAACACCAGAGCCAAAAAACAAGTTAATGACGGAGGTTTCAAGTAGAACAGACACTCGGCAGCAGCACGGAAAATGTAGAGGTGTCTCAATGAAATCATAAAACCATGTTACAGTGACTAATAATTTAGTGACGGAGAAACTGTCACTAATTAAAATTTGAGATCCAAGTATCCAATCAAGCAGCACATGTATTGCTTTGCGGGATCCTAAAGATGGTGGATGTGCCAGAAATTAAATCAAAGGTTGCATGTAGTGCATACAAAAGTTCAGGGGGTTTTCCGATGCACAAAAAGAGTTTTCCCAAGACTTGCAGTGTCTGCACTTGTAAGCTTATTGTGTTCTTATTTAGGAGGAGGTTCACTTTCATTCAGAATACATACTGTTAAAACAAAGGCTTGTTTGCTGCTGTGTGAGGGTATTTTTTAAGGGCTGCCTAAAAAGGGGGTCTCACAAATGAGCTCTTCGTCAGCACCACCAATCCTGCCAACATCACTTGCAGCTTTATCAGTAAGCGCACAAAAGTAATTCCTCATGCCCGTTTTGCCATACAGGTCCTTCCAGCAGACAGCATGGGCAAATTTAAAGGATTTGGCTGCTTCCTGGAATACATCTTTAGCAGCAGCTACACGCTGTTGATTTTTGTGAGGACACTGCATTAGAATACATATAGCTCCAGGCCTAATTGAAGCAATTACAGACTTCTCTTGTCGTGATTTAACAACTGCTTAACATTTTGGTTATAGAATAAGATCTGATGATTTTGCAGTGAGAACACTCTGTACAACCATTTATTTACCATGGTAACCTACAGTTAAACAAGTATAGTTATACCAGACTAATTAGAATTACGTTTTTGGCTCAGTGAGGGTAAAAAACATGTTTTGCATGATGAAGAGGTAGCAAAATGAATGCTTAAAAGTCTGCTGATCTATACTTACATATTTTCTTATACCACAGCCAGGTACAATGATGGAATAAAAAATTATATCTGTTCATGAAACTTCACAAATACTGTTTTAATTGCTTCATTCTGCCATAGAATATTTAAAGGAGAATTATGGGGAGAGTGAAATACACTCATCCCAATAGTTAAAGCCGACGTTTGCTCTATTGATCGAGAACTGAGTGATCACATATCACTGATCACTTAGGTTCACGATCTGCACTCCATAGGGATTTTCCCCTCCCCTCTCTGTTCCTCCAGCACTGGCTGGGGGGACAGACAGGGGAAGGGGCAGGCACTGCTTCTAGAAAAACACAAAAAAATGGATAAGAAACACATTTATGTGTACATAAATTAGTTTAGCTAACAGAAAGTAATTCATAATTATTTTATTTGTCCTGATTTATAGGGTATATCATATGTTTGAGATGTCAGTTTATTTTGGGTGTTATAGATCACAAAATACGGATAAGGAGTGACATACAATTTGGAACAATTTTAGAATGTGGTATGTTTGTCTTTGTTTTGTTAACTTTAATAGCCTCTTCAGCACTATATTTTCTTATTTGTTTCATTAAACTTATTTTTTTTACTCTTTAACTTTTTTTTTTTTAAAACTAGGGGGCTCTAAAGGGTTACTTTTTTATTCACGGGGCTTTGGATACTTAGTATTCTGAGGAGACACTGTATTCTCCGCAGAGATGCTTTTCATAACTTTGTAGTACACTGATCCAATTGCAGCTCCACAACACATTGAGCTGCAAGCTGGATCAATGGCAGTAACAGCACTGTGATCACTGCAATTGGCTATTGCAGTAATCACAGCTGTTAAGGGATTTGCTGTTAAGGGTCTCCCTCAGACACAAAGGGACCCAGCAACAGCACAAACCCCATGAGTGCTGGTCCCTCCATGGACCTGCGCTCATTTTCCCGCATGACAGAATTATTTTGTCAACGGTCGGTAAGGGGTTAATCTACATAGCAGTCTCAGAGACCCTGTTATTACCAAATGCACCTTTTAGGGCCAGATGAGGTCAAACTTTAAATAATTTGAATAACAAACCTTTCAATTATGACTAATGCAATTTTAAACATAAGCGTAGACAATTATTTGTACTTATCCACCCAGGGGCAATTGCCAGAATGTGCAAATAAGCACAGCATACGAAAACATAGGAAACGTACCTCCTAGTTTGTCCTCCTCCAGCGATGACAGATCTGTGCTCCCCATCATTCCCATCTTTGGGGATTCTTCTACTAGACCAACATCTTCTTTCTTTGCCCGCTGGGTGGCCAGTGATGATGCTCATGCACACTTAAGTTACATGAGGACATTGTGGCTGAACTCCTAGCATCTAAAGCTGGCCTTACTAGCGGGGAAGAGAGAAACGGTCACAGGCGGCCCAGCGCTGTGAGCGGCCAGCGTCTCTCCTTCCCGCACCGCTCAGCCTCCTGTAACAGATCAGAAGAGAGTGGTGTGTGGGGGGGCGAAGACAGCCAGCGCTGTCACAAGAGACTGGCTGGCGGTGTGGGGGAGGAGTCAGCTGTCAGATCGAGCTCTCCTCCCCACACCGCTAGCTCAGCCTCCTGTGACAGCTGTCAGGAAGCAGAGTGAGGTACAAACCCTCAGCGATCACTGAGTGTTTGTACATAACTGAGGACAGAGTATGTTGACTATATCCCCAATTATGAATGCGAAGTGATCCCCTCCTGTTCATTCATGATATAGTAAACACACTATGTGCACATGTTATGAATGAGCAGGAACACTCAGTACAGAGGATTCCTATTCATTTACAACTGGGGCTGCAGAAAAAAAGACTGAGGACTCTGTGTTCTCAATCTCTTATTCTATTTTAAAAGGGAAATATTATGGGTCTAAACAGAAAAAGTTAGGAAAAAAACATTTTCGGTTTCAGCCCGACATTTGTTTTTATTTCGGTTTTAACATTTATCATTTCCGTGCACCTCTAATTAAAATCAAACAAAATTTTGAACCACAAATCTACAACTTCTGATTCTGGCATTATTAACGAGGAACTTTACCCATATCTTCAAAATAACAAATACACCTTTAGAAATATTTAGTCATGACAATCTGCAAACAGTTCCTTTTAGATACTTACAGATAATTGCAGGCTATTTATTTTTTGCATAGCTTATTTCTCTTTTCTTCCCCAGTCTTCTGACAGTGGCCATTTTAACTAAGGGCAGATTACTAGTTCTCCCTTTACTTCCTGGAACTCCGACATATGTAACTAGGACATGTGACCATGCACATCATCTCAGGGTAGGAAAATGCCTTTCCTTGAGATCTCGTGAGATTACAGATGAGATTTCCCAGCAATGCTCTGCTGATGTAACATTCCCAGAATGCAATGATTAGGCACGATTACATTTACATTTGTGCCAAAGTAGAAAAAATAAATAAATTGTAATAAAAATAAAAATGTGTTTGTTTTCCTAATATTTGTAAGATGATTTCATATGTGATTTTTAGTCAAAGGGGGTAAAGGTCCACTCCAAATGTTCTGAACAGATTTTTATTATAAACGTTCTTACCAAAATCTTGCACTGTATAGCCAACCTTACAGGTGGCAGGAATGTACACTGCACTGTACACACAGTGTACATTTAAGAAAACAGTTACTAGTAAATAGGTTAAGTAGTTTTTAGGCAGAAAAGTCTCTGCTACCAAAAAAACAAATACTATCTTTTTTTTTTTCAGACGTCAGTTGGGCTGAACTATTGAAAACTTTATTGATTTAAAAAACAAAAAACAAACCATACTTACGAAACAGGGCCATGGCAATAACTCTGAATGCATTCCAGTATTTGTGGAGGCACTACTTCTTTGCAAAGATAATGGTGTGTATCGGCCGTTAATCTGTAATATCCATCAATCAGTGACACAAAGGACAAAGCTTCTTTTAAAGAAGAAAATTCTACCTCCTGGAGAAAAAAAAACAAAACAGCAAGTAGTCAACACTGGGATAGAGCAGGTATTTACATGCAAGAATTACATACAGTGCAATTCAAGAAAGAATTACATGAATTAGATTACAGATAGATAGATAGATAGGATAGATAGATAGATAGATAGATAGATAGATAGATAGATAGATAGATAGATAGATAGATAGATAGATAGATAGATAGGAGAGATCTATCTGTAAAAGATCTACAGCATAGGTTTCTTACAGAGACCATACTGTGCACAATTTACCAAACTACTTTGTTTATAATATACACTGTAGCAAGGCTTTTACTCATCCCTAAAGAATACACACTCAAAAAAAATAAGTATTATACATTGCCAAAACAATACAGTTGGCACTTTATCTATGTATAGTAATATCCAATTTAAGAAGGTAATAGGTAAAAGGCAATATCTCACTCAACCCATTCCTGAAAGGGACTATTAGCTTGAGTACACTAGCATGACCTTAAATTACCCTAAAGTTGAATGAATAAAGCCCATACTGATGCTCAAAAGCAAATGTTCTGGACATGCAAGATAACCATGTGTGGTCTACGACATTTTACATTTATGTATTACAAATATTATCCATGGCCCTCAGACATTTTTCAAAACAGCTAAAGCAGACTTACAGAAAAAAACATTAATAAAAGAAATAAAATCTACACAACTTCCTGATATGTAAAGTAACTGAATAGCATTAAAACATTAGGTGTTTGAATTTTTGGATCGAAAAGTCTGCCCCCACTGCATGATGTCAGCAAACTGATGTTTAAGATCGTGTTCATAACCAATATAACTTGTGTATAAAATCTGTATAATACAAATACAAATTTATAACAATGTGTATCCAAAAAACGAGGTAACTTCTAATAAGAAAGTCCAGCACTACTACATGTCTGTTGCGTGCCTCTGCCAGGTAACTAATTAAACAGTTATGTCTCTGCTACAGCATAAAGCTACTCACTGCTGGATGCACGTAGTAATTATATATCCATATACAATGTTTCATAATAAACTGATTAAAAATACATTTTTGTATTGACCATAATGTTTTTTTTTTAAAATACATACTTTTTCAGACAGTACAATGCTCACTAGGGCTGCAACAACTAATCGACATAATCAATGATTGAAAAAGTTGTCAACTTTTTCAATCGTCGATTAATCGTCTTCTGGTTAGTTGGCCCTGTTCACGTGCCGCACCTCATCCCCACCTCACGCTCGCCGCTGCCAGACCCACCCACATTCACGCTCCACACGCCGCACCTCCTCCCCGCCCTCCCACATCCACGATTGGCACAGGGATGCTGGGAGGAGAAGAAGTAAGGAGGAGCAGGTGTGGGGGCATGACAATCGCCGATAGACAGGCCCTTTCTCAGAAGCAAGTTGCTGGAAGACTGCTCAGGTCTGCACTCCCCCCCACATGGTGCTCTATAATGTATTGCTGGGATTTGTTTCCCTCTATAGCTGGTGGCATTGTGCTGTATAGAGGACTACAAATCCCAGCAAAAATACATTATACAGCGCAATGCGGAATACCACCAGCTATAGAGGAGTACAACAAATCCCACCAATAGTACATTATAAAGCGCAATGCAGAATACCGCCAGCTATATTGTATTGCTGGCATTTGTTGTATTCCTATATAGCTGGTGGTATTCTGCATTTCGCTGTATAATATATTATTGCTGGGATTTGTTGTACTCCTCTGTAGCTGGTGGTATTCTGTATTGTGCTGTATAATATACAATTGCTGGGATTTGTAGTCCGCTATAGCCGGTGCCATTCTGCATTCATTGCTATATAATTTTACACTTGATTTCACTATATTGCACACCACACTTTGTTTTTCCTTATTTACTTCCACCGCTCCAAGCTTGCTCCTGTGATGGCCTACAATCTTAATACAAACTAGTAGTCCATCACTGGAGCCATTTTTTAAAATGTATTTTATTTTTTATCCGATTAACCGAACTCAATAATCGGCTAACTAATCGATTTTGAAAATAATCGTTAGCCGCAGTTCTAATGCTTACTGTCTGATGGTCATGTAATGTGTGATGTCAGAAATTCAGAAATTTGCCTCAATCCCAGCCCTGGCTAACTGATGTGTGTGTCAAACATTTTCTACGACTTCAAGCACTTCAGGTGTAAAGCAGCCTACAGACATTATATGATAGCCGTTAATGCACAAACTGCCTGATGAATGATCTGCATAAAAAAAACAAAAAACTGGTGCAAATATCTCCTCTCACATCAGGTAAGTGTAAAAGCTTGGTGGAAAGGGGGTGTTTAACAAACATTCATGAGAACTCATAGAGATTGGCAGAGAAGAATGGCCAAATGACTTTCTTGCAGCGATAGCTTGGCCAGTGGAAGAGTGCTACGGTTGGTTGTGGCCTACAGACATAATAACATTCCCCAATCTGACTGTAAACAGCTGGATCTGGTAATATAATGTCTCTAGACACTTTATAGGCCTGCGCTGAGGGACTTTTGCTTGCTTCAGATGATTTTTGCATTCTCATACAAGTCTATGGGAATGAAAAACTTGCCTAAAACAGGTCAAATGCAAGTCACAAGGTCAGCGGCAAGTATTTTGCACCTCTCCAGGAATTCTGAATGACCCGAGAAGCGTCTTTAACTGATGCCATTGTCACAAGCCCAAAGCCCGTCGACGCAGGCCCTAAAGCTATTCAAATATGTTAAATCCAGTATACAGCCCCACTCAGAAAACCTAAAGAATATATGCCTACACAGTGGAACCAGCACCTCTGCTATGTAGTTATATCAACCTGCAATAAAATATTAGCAGGCCACCAAAATTTAAAATACACTCATGTTTCTACTGAAATCAGTAGACAGATCTTCCCTCCCCAAATGAAGCTATTGTGTAATTACAAGTTCCCATATGCACTGCCAGGCATATCCTCTGTCTATGACATAGTTGTGACTATGTGGCTTCAATGCTTTCTAAGTAAATGACTCAGACCAAGTATGCAGATCAGGAAATTTAAAGTAAAGTCATAAATCCTTATCTGCATATATTTTCTAGGTTACTGGCTCTAAGCATTGAAGCAAGAAGTTCAGTATGGCAGCAGGGCAAACAGCATTTTCAAGCGAGATCAGCAACAAGAGTGTTTAGGTTTCTCCCATGACAGGTTTAGTAGAAGTAGTAATGTAAAGCACGACATGTACATCTTACTAGGAAGGAAATCAAGTGTCAAAACACCACCCATTTTCAGGAAGGAAAATAAAGTTCTTTGCAAGCAGCTGTCAACATGCAAGATAGCCTGCTGATCACCAGAGAACAGTGTCTGACACAGGAAACCTGACATTGGTGAGATCTGTAACAAATTCAATAGCCCAGTTCACCACATGATTATCAGTTACAAAACACAGAACATAAGCAACATTTGTGTCTACACATTGTTTACTTTCCCACCCATCAGCTCACTGTTACTTTTGTTTACAAAACATCTGCCAGCTACTGAATTGCTTCACCAGATGTGCAACCATCATTTAAAGGAGAACTATAAAGGTGAGTGAATTACACTCATTCCCCATAGTTAGAGCCGACGTGTACTTTGAAACATACCGTTGCTCGCTCACTTCCCGATCATCTCCCTGCAGAGAGCGGTGACTGACAATCCCACAGGGATTCCCCCCGGTCTCCGATCCTCCAGTGCTGACTGTAGACAGTATTGTCAGGATCCGTCCCAGCTGCGGCGAGCAATAGCCCGCTATTACCGAGTTTTTTTAATCCACTTAGTCCTCCCGTGACCCTAAAGAGGACTATGGGGGAAAGAAGGTTACCCCATAGTGAACTTTGTTTGCTTTTCTGGAGGGGCCTCTACTACAGCTTCCACGCCAGAGAATTGTAGCAGCTATTCGGTGTAACTCTATGTTAAAGGGTTTCTAAAGCCTCCGTTTTTTTGCCTATATCTCCTGCTATCGAGCAGGAGATATAGGCAAAACGTTTTTTGTTTTTTTTTAAAACCTCTTTAACAGCAGTTTAAACTTACCGTGTTTTTGCTGCACGCTCCCGTCCGAGAAAACGAAACTGCTCCAGCGGGCGCATGCGCAGTTCAGATTTTCGGCCAGGAGACGAGCAGAGACGCAAGGTAAGTCTATGGACGCGTGCACACGCATGCAGACACCGCGGGATCGGAAGTGCCTGCAGGGACAGATGAGTCAGCACTGGATCGGAGAGCCGCCTCACCGCTGGAGGGACAGATGAAAATAATGTTACTTTAAGTTAGTCTGGTTGCTAGGAATCTGCCTCCAAAGAAATTACCATACTATTGGAGCCATAAAATGATGAGATACTGATGGTAGTAATTTAAACAGAGGCAACAAACAAGAGGAGGTGACAGGTTTGAAACATTTCAATCAGTCCCACTCTGCTCTGAGTTGATCTAAGTGACCCTGTGCTCAGACCATATACACACTATTGATTGCATATTCTAAACAAGCAGTAAACACATTTTAAAACAAGCCCTCACTCATCTCTGTATCTACAAGCACAGTGAAGAAATTACTTGTCAACGTTCTCAACACAGCCTTAGCTTTTTCCTATGAAAGCAGAATCTTGTCAGGCTGCCAACCCTTTAATGCAAGCTGTTAGACTTTGACTGAAATTAATGGAGTCTTTTTGTACTCTTTAAAGGGGAAATAGGAGCCCGCATTTGATACTATAGCTGTCACACGACGGCTCTATTGATTGAGATCCGATCTTCTCACCGCTCCCCGCAGGGATTCCCCCCTCCCCTCTCTGTTCCTCCAGCGCTAACTGGAGGGAAGGACAGGGGAGAGGATGGGCACAGCTAGAAAAGCAAAGCTAGTTATCAATCCGGTGGCGGGGCCGCAGCGTGACTCTGCGCTATCATATAGCGAGCAATAGCCCGCTTTATGCTGAGCTTTGGGTCACAAGAGGGCATTAGTAAATGCCCTCCTGTAACCCTAAAGAAAACTACAGTCAAAAAAGGTTAAGCTATAGTTCTCTTTTAATGATCTTGTGAAGAATCAATAACATCACATTAAAAAAATCTAGAGAGCCCAATGAGGGTTTGTTTTAAAGCTATTTTACGGTGTTAAAAATATGCAAGTAGCGAATACAGGTGAAACTCGAATAATTAGAATATCGTGCAAAAGTAATTTTTCATGAGCTGTAAGCCATAATCATCACAATTATGACAAATCACGGCTTGAATTATCTTGCTTTGCATGTAATGAGTCTATCTCATATATTAGTTTCACCTTTTAAGTTGCATTAGTGAAATAAATGAACTTTGCACAATATTCTAATTATTCAAGTTTCACCTGTATGTAAATCGTTTTTTATGTCCATAGTCTGGGCACAGGTGCACTTTAATCTTACAGCACACAGAAGTAGTAGACAACATTCAGCCCATGTACATCCTAAGCAGACATAGATGTGTTATCCTTTTAACATTTTGAGTATTTCTAGAATAATTTTGAGTACAATATGGTGCTGCCGACATGAGCAAAATGGGCATGTAAAAAACCCCCAAAAACTTCCACATGAAAAGTGACATTTTTTTTGTCATTGATAGCTATGTGGAGAAGGGAAGGCAGAAGTTAAAAAGAACGAACGAATTAGAACTAACATCCTTTACTTATCTCAGAATAGAGGGCAACCTGCAGGAAGTGGGGCCCATGCTGGGTGCTATTCCAATCTTCTTCTGAACCAGCAAGGCCTTTTAGAACTGTGCATTATCAGCTTGCCCCATAGGGTCTAATAGAAAAGGGACCTTCTTGTAGCCTGCAGGTTAATAGCTTTTCAATTACGGTCTATGTAAAGTAAGTAATGTATATGCAGTACAGACACCCCAACCCCTGGCTAAGAAGGGAGTCAGCTCCACTACCTAGGCCGGCATAGACAGCAGCTCCTGGTAAGTTGATCAGCTGTTTATCTGAACAAAGTAAAAGAGAAATACTTGCCGAGCGCTACAATTCAGCAAAAACAACAGCAGATTCCCTTGTGTGAAAAAAAGAAAATAACGTTGCAGGTTTAAAAATATAACAAAGTATCTGATAGGACAGGATATAGGAAAGATGAAAAATGATGGATTCTATACAAGTAGCACAACAGAAAGTAAAAGTGTTATTATAAGGCTTGCTCTCAATTATCCTAAATGCTTCGGACTTACAGGAATCGAAAGCGTGAAGTACCTTGATAACTGAAATCAAGATAATAACAAGAAGCAAACCTTACCAGAGATTTATTGTCCTGCTTGTGGATTGTTACTATCCGACTCTCAGAGGAATCGTCCTTGCCAGCTTGTTTAATGCTTACATCAATGATGTCAGGAAAATCACAGTATGTTTGCAAGTCCTGAAATATAAATTTACAGGGGAATCACAGCCAGTGTTGTAAACCAAAACTCTTATTGCACTCTTATAACACTGGTACTCTTCAACTGACTAGACAGGAATAGAGTAGGTTTAATGATCTGTATGGATGCATTAACTATTTCATACAGTCAGTCAATCGACAGAAGCACACAGGGAGGATAAAAAATAATAATAATAATGAAAGATTAAAGCCTAACATCAGCCAAAACATTTTTCCAAAATATATACAACAGGGAAGGATTGGAATTTCTGTCAGGTCTTTTTTGCCATCTCTGTACCTGGCGGAAACATTTCACTTCCCATCAGGAAAGGAAGTGCTGGCAGATTTCTCTAATGAGGACATAAACACAAAAACACATTTTTGCAGACTGCGGAAGGGTTAGAACTTCTGCCAATATTCCCATCCCAGTGACAACTGCACATCACAGACAGGAAGTAAGGCAAAATCTCCACTAATTCTGCCACAGACAGAAATAAAAACCTGACAGAAATGTAAAAGGCTAAGTGTACCTTTCAGACTATGTTTCATGTTCCTTTCAGACTATGTTTCATGTTACACCCATATTCAGGGTCCCATGGAAACATTCTGAAGACCTGTCACTTCCACTGCACTTTTCTGGGAAAGATATTTAACAAAGTCAAAAAGACATATACAGTAAAATAAGCATAAATCATTTGTAAATCCAAGGAAACCAAAGTTATGATATTAAATTTGGAAACCTTGGTATTGAGGATATATTGTTAATAATTACATTTGAATGCAACTAAAAAAAAAAAAAACTGTCAAATAGTATGTAATAAATGGGTTTACCTGATCATCCAATATGTCTTTGTCACTCGATCGGCCCCTTAAGTACCGAATTCCATCATTTCCACTTACTACAATTGTGGCAAAAATCTCTCCCCCTAGCGAGTCTCGGAAGGCTTCCTTAACTTCAAATTGTTCAGAATAAAACGCAGACTGGAGGCTCTCAAGATTTATGAGATACTTAAGTTTTAAGTCTCTGGCAGTAGCTTTACACTGACTGAATTGCTGAATGAATCTTCGAAATCTATACCGTATTCTCTTGCGAGTCAATATGTGGTAGTCTTGAATTTTGGCACGAATGCACTTTGGCAAGAACTTTTTGTAACTGTTAAAAAACAAAAGAAAAAACATACACAACATATGTCTATTAAATGCATTCATATCATGTGTGTATTCAAGTATTCAAAGGCATAGTGCACTTTTTAAAAAATGCACCAACAATGATAAAATGAAAAATGTGCATTTATAAAAATGTTTGCATTTAGAGTCAGACCTGCACAGAATTGCAATAGCGATCAGTGCATCATGGGTGCAATGCACAGGCTGCTGCACTGCGTACCCCCAGCCCATCTATTATGGGGCTGAAGCAAATAATGAACTACAAATGCATTGACACCATCTCCCTACTGTAGGTGCCCTCTGCTGAGTCCCTCTACTATGAATGGAGAATGTGGCTGTGGGAGCCATACACAGCCACGCATATTTCAGATAACTGAATGCTGCACCCTAGAAGAACCCTGTCATTGAGGTAATGGAAGGGCAGGCGTTCTATGCGACTATGTTTCATGTTATACCCCAAATATGGCTGTAACATAAATCCTGGTAACAAAGGTGGACTAACCCTTTAACAAGTTGTCTGCTTTTATACAATAATTCCACTGTTTCTATAAAGCTCATCACAATATTACAATTTTTTAAATAAAATTGACACACATGACTTCTCTCTGTCTTAGGGTTTTCAACTGAAACGTAAATTGTTTGAATAGCTTAAAAAAAATAGTTTGCTAAACATTTTGCAACTGCATTACTAATGCCACTGTGCAACTAGAAAGGTTCAAAATGTTCAAATGTGTTTTCGGTCACAAATGGCTCATACAAGTTAATCTATATTTTACTCATCACTCTTACGCTGGGTACACATTGATTAAATCAATCTGTGGTGTGGCCCTAACTCCTTGACAAAAGTTAAATCATTAGATGCACTTCTGTGGAAGGCACATCGTCAGCCAAATAGTGCTTGAAGCAAATTAGTATTCTGATAGCGGCATGTGCCACTGTCAGAATACAATGTAAACAGCAGAAGGTTCATTCACCCAAGCTATTACTACTACCAAAATTCCCAGAATTCATAAATCATGGCGCAGACACTCTTTAGAGGAGTGCCTGCACTACCATTATGACAAATTTTGTCATAAAAGCAACAAGTCGGAAACCTGTACATTAATTTATCACCAAGCCTGACTCACACATAGGTCTCAAAGATGCTGTGCGGCCAAGCTTCATTAGTTGCTAGGGTGCAGGCTGCCTCGGGACACTGTGCATCCAAGCTTCTTTGGTTATTAGGAGGATGGAAGCCTCAGGACCATCAGCAACCTGGTAACCAACAATGTGGGGTGGACAAACTGCTCCGCCCCTCCCCACACACACAAACTGCTCCAAAATGAGTATTTTATTTTTAAAAATGTTTTGTGATTTTATCCGATTAATCAAAATTAATAATTGGCTAACTAATCGATTATGAAAATAATCGTTAGCTGCAGCCCTACTCCACTGTAAACCTCATGTGTGAAGAGCTTGGCTCCCATGCTGTTTCTTATAATTACTTTTTTGTAAATGGGTGCCAGATGCCTTGAGGGGCACATTTCTCAACCGCTGTAGTTCAGTTGTATGGCTACGACAATATTTTTTAGTGATTTTTGTTGCTAATTAAGGAAACATCAGTAACCACTATTTGTGAGTCAAAAGCTTAACTGTTCTTCCCCCTTTTATACCCATAACACTTGCACATGCCTGTTGTCATACTTTCTACAATTCTCCTCTGCTCATACTCCCCACTGTCATACCTCTGGACTCCTCTACTGCACATAATCCCCATTGTCAAACTCTCTGCACTACTCTTCTGCACATACCAACCACTGGCCTACCCTCCGCAGCCTTCTCCTGCACATATTGCCCAATGTCATACCCTACATAAAAGACCTCCCCACCCCAAACCCTCAGCACTCCTTCCCTGTACATAATGTCTGCTGTTATACCCTGCACATTCCTCTCCTGCATGTACTACCCGCTGAGACATTTCTTTAGGACCCGATCAAACTGCATGCGTTAATTGCATGATTTCATGCGATTAACACATGGTACTGCACAGCGGACCTCCCGTTCGATTACAGTAAGGGAGGTGCGTTGCCCACCATTCATTTGAATGGCACCCCAAAACACATCTCCTGCCCGCGCTGCAACACATAGTACAACAAATACCGCATGTTGCAATTGAAAAAAAATAGTGCACATTATTTTTACAACGCACGTTATTGCAGTACCGTCCGCCGATCGCACTGTAGCTGGGAGGTGTGGTTGGGGTGCCATTCAAATAAATGGCACGCAAGACACCTTCCGCACAGGAGTGTGAACGGGCCCTAAGTGTTGTTAGTTAAGTCTCTGAACTTTCCTCTTCTGGAACGGGAACCCTTTTTTAAAAATAATTAAACAACAAATGAAGAATCTCTATGGGAAAGATAAAAGGAAGATAGATCTATTTACATAAGCAAATTGTGCCAAAACTCAGCAATGTTTGTAAAACAAAATTTGTGAAATTCGTAATAGAGTTGAAAACGTTTAAATGATAATTATATTTCAATGTGAAAGATTTAGACACAAAAGTAGTGATACGGTTCAGTTCTCAGAGAAAAGGTGCCCATACACTTTACAAACCTCGCAATGCTTTTGTCTTGCGAGGGTTGTAAAGTACTTAAAAAAACGTACGATCTGTCCATCTTGGACAGGCAGATCGTACTTGCGATCATCGTACTTGCGATGACTGCAATGAGGGGCGGGCTTCAGATGACTGCAAACGGGCAGTGTGCGCATGCGCACACCGGCCCGTTCGGCAGTTGTCGAACAAGCAGGCTGGAAAACCCGCCGAGAATCGTGCGATTCTCGTACGAGAAACGTGCAGTGTATGGGCACCTAAAGGACAATAAGCTATAGGACCTTAAAGCAGAACTCCAGGCAAATCACTAAATACACAGGTGAAATCTATATACGTCAGCTGTTTTACCTGCCAAATTATTTGTATTTCTATTCATCCAGGCCCAATATTTACACAGCTCTGCCACTAAGGATAGCCCTGCCAGTTACACAGAAATGAAAAGCCCTAATACACTGGCGGTTTATCAATCACTTATTAGTAAGACATAATTGACACCACTGGACACAACCAACTGCTGTCTTTGTAATTAAGTTCTCCAGCAGCACATACCTTTCAAGCATTTCCCTGCTGCTCCATTCACCTGCCAGGTGTGAAGAAATTACCCGATACATCAAGGTATAAAGGGGAATTTTACTCACTCTCCTTCCTCTCATGTAGCAGTGCTAGCGAGTAGTTAGTGGCCCTGTGCTGTCACATGGGGTCAGAAAATCCTCATCTATTTGTAAGATTCAACTAAAGTGACAGAGCTATCACAGGGCTTTCTTTCTTCGCTCCCTAAGCTAAGGAAATAATTGGGGGAGCAATGCAAAAAATAGTGGTGATAAGGAAGGAGCATTAAAGCAAAACCACAAAAATACTTCCCATTGATAATGATGCTTCAGGCTCCCTGCAATGCTGCTCAGACCAAAAGCCTAGGTATATTTCACACAGAAATGAATGAAAGGCTGAAGCAGGAAAGCATTCCATCCTAATACTGGTTACTAACATAATTTAACATAAGTTACCCCTTCACACCCCTTAAGGATTTTGCGAGTCTTTTTCAATCTTATAAGATCAGTCGAGCAGATTGTGGAAATTCAGTAAGTCCATTAGAGAAGTACCCATAAGAACTCTACTTCTTATTAAAAAAATTGCATTTCAGAATAAAAAAAAGGTACCTGACACTATTGTAAATTGCAATTGGACTTTGTTCCTTTTCACTGGCTATACGCATCATGTCAAGAACGGCCATCCCCAGGCATTCCTCCTGTGTTTCATGTGTAATGGGCACGGTTATCCAACCATTGACAAAATCATCTCTCCACTAAACAAAAGAGAAAAGAAAAAAAAAATGGATCAGTAAATTCAATAATTGTTTTTAATCTACTATCTATTACTGAGGTTCAAATTTTGTTCACTTGCAATCCTATCTGACATAATGATGTCTGAAATGTCCACATTCATTTATGAAAAAAACAACAAATTCAAGCCCTTTCTTCACTTGGCTTAGCATCACTGGAGCCTGTTACACTGCAATATTTCTAATATTCACAAAGTCATTCATTGCATAATACTGATTAACAAAGTAATTGAAGAAATACAGTGGAAGACAGCTTCAGGCCAGGTTCACACCATTATCTGGATCAGACCTGGAACACATTTCCATGTGTTCCAGTGCATTCCAGAACCCGGAAAATGAGACAAGCAGTATTTTTCTGGTCTGGACCGAAACGGACTGTGCCGGAGTGAACAGAGCCCAGAAATACCATAGGGATACATTGGGATGCTTTTTTCGGTCTGGGAACAAACTGTCCTGGTCTGGACATGATCCGGACATGGTGTGAACATGCCTTGAGGCCTCACCACAAAACAGAGCAGAGCAGAGCAGAGCAGACAGGAGGCACACACAATATTTGACTAGACTAACCACTAGTGAATACATTTTAATTCAAGTAATAGGTGAAAATCATTTTAAAAAAAAGAAAATGTTTTGAACTTTTTAACTCCCAAGTTTTTTTTTTAAATCAAAATGTTAAATTATAAACAGATTCTGTTTAATAGGTGCAGTAGATGGATACTTCACATGACATTAGGGATGCACCGAAATATCGTCCGCCTAAATATATGCGCTGAAAATGACACTTTTGGCAAAATAATTAAAGTACAATTTTTCGGCCAAAATGGCAGCGCATCCATAGTTTCTATCCTCCTCTGATGCAGCGCAGCGTCCAGCATGGAGGGAAGAAACTGTCAAGAGTTGGGTGGGGTGGAGAGCACTGCGAGTGTCACAGGAGGCTGAGCTCTCCTCCCGCACCTCTCCGCTCAGCCTCATGCCCAGATCAGGAGAGCAGTGTGTGGGCGGAGACAGCCGTCACAGGAGGCCAAGCGGGGGGACAGCGCAGCGTCCAGCATGGAGGGAAGAAACTGTCAAGAGTTGGGTGGGGTGGAGAGCACTGCGAGTGTCACAGGAGGCTGAGCTCTCCTCCCGCACCTCTCCGCTCAGCCTCATGCCCAGATCAGGAGAGCAGTGTGTGGGCGGAGACAGCCGTCACTGATATATAGTTACTATGTACCAGTTATGAATAAATAGGAAGTGATCTATATCACTTCCTGTTTATTCATAATTATGTACATAGTAACTCATATTATGTCCACAAGTTATGAATGAACACGAGCACTCAGTACTCAGCATTCCTGTTCATTTACAAAAGGGTATGCAGAAAAAGAGATTCTGTACTCTGTGTCCTCAATATTTTCCTATTTTAAAAGGGAAATATCAGGGGTCTGATATTTCACCAAAGCCCCCAGCAGTAAAGTTTAAAAAAATGTTTAATAAAAAAATAAATATAATAAAAAAATTACAAAGTTTATTTTAAAAAAAAAAAGAAAACATTTAAAACATTTTTTTAAATGTTAAAAACAAAAAATTATTTTCGTTTTCGGCTGATGCATTGTGTATTACAGACAAAATTTGAACACCTAAAAAGGTTTTTTTTAGATCGGCCCCTTAAGTACCGAATTCCATCATTTCCACTTACTACAATTGTGGCAAAAATCTCTCCCCCTAGCGAGTCTCGGAAGGCTTCCTTAACTTCAAATTGTTCAGAATAAAACGCAGACTGGAGGCTCTCAAGATTTATGAGATACTTAAGTTTTAAGTCTCTGGCAGTAGCTTTACACTGACTGAATTGCTGAATGAATCTTCGAAATCTATACCGTATTCTCTTGCGAGTCAATATGTGGTAGTCTTGAATTTTGGCACGAATGCACTTTGGCAAGAACTTTTTGTAACTGTTAAAAAACAAAAGAAAAAACATACACAACATATGTCTATTAAATGCATTCATATCATGTGTGTATTCAAGTATTCAAAGGCATAGTGCACTTTTTAAAAAATGCACCAACAATGATAAAATGAAAAATGTGCATTTATAAAAATGTTTGCATTTAGAGTCAGACCTGCACAGAATTGCAATAGCGATCAGTGCATCATGGGTGCAATGCACAGGCTGCTGCACTGCGTACCCCCAGCCCATCTATTATGGGGCTGAAGCAAATAATGAACTACAAATGCATTGACACCATCTCCCTACTGTAGGTGCCCTCTGCTGAGTCCCTCTACTATGAATGGAGAATGTGGCTGTGGGAGCCATACACAGCCACGCATATTTCAGATAACTGAATGCTGCACCCTAGAAGAACCCTGTCATTGAGGTAATGGAAGGGCAGGCGTTCTATGCGACTATGTTTCATGTTATACCCCAAATATGGCTGTAACATAAATCCTGGTAACAAAGGTGGACTAACCCTTTAACAAGTTGTCTGCTTTTATACAATAATTCCACTGTTTCTATAAAGCTCATCACAATATTACAATTTTTTAAATAAAATTGACACACATGACTTCTCTCTGTCTTAGGGTTTTCAACTGAAACGTAAATTGTTTGAATAGCTTAAAAAAAATAGTTTGCTAAACATTTTGCAACTGCATTACTAATGCCACTGTGCAACTAGAAAGGTTCAAAATGTTCAAATGTGTTTTCGGTCACAAATGGCTCATACAAGTTAATCTATATTTTACTCATCACTCTTACGCTGGGTACACATTGATTAAATCAATCTGTGGTGTGGCCCTAACTCCTTGACAAAAGTTAAATCATTAGATGCACTTCTGTGGAAGGCACATCGTCAGCCAAATAGTGCTTGAAGCAAATTAGTATTCTGATAGCGGCATGTGCCACTGTCAGAATACAATGTAAACAGCAGAAGGTTCATTCACCCAAGCTATTACTACTACCAAAATTCCCAGAATTCATAAATCATGGCGCAGACACTCTTTAGAGGAGTGCCTGCACTACCATTATGACAAATTTTGTCATAAAAGCAACAAGTCGGAAACCTGTACATTAATTTATCACCAAGCCTGACTCACACATAGGTCTCAAAGATGCTGTGCGGCCAAGCTTCATTAGTTGCTAGGGTGCAGGCTGCCTCGGGACACTGTGCATCCAAGCTTCTTTGGTTATTAGGAGGATGGAAGCCTCAGGACCATCAGCAACCTGGTAACCAACAATGTGGGGTGGACAAACTGCTCCGCCCCTCCCCACACACACAAACTGCTCCAAAATGAGTATTTTATTTTTAAAAATGTTTTGTGATTTTATCCGATTAATCAAAATTAATAATTGGCTAACTAATCGATTATGAAAATAATCGTTAGCTGCAGCCCTACTCCACTGTAAACCTCATGTGTGAAGAGCTTGGCTCCCATGCTGTTTCTTATAATTACTTTTTTGTAAATGGGTGCCAGATGCCTTGAGGGGCACATTTCTCAACCGCTGTAGTTCAGTTGTATGGCTACGACAATATTTTTTAGTGATTTTTGTTGCTAATTAAGGAAACATCAGTAACCACTATTTGTGAGTCAAAAGCTTAACTGTTCTTCCCCCTTTTATACCCATAACACTTGCACATGCCTGTTGTCATACTTTCTACAATTCTCCTCTGCTCATACTCCCCACTGTCATACCTCTGGACTCCTCTACTGCACATAATCCCCATTGTCAAACTCTCTGCACTACTCTTCTGCACATACCAACCACTGGCCTACCCTCCGCAGCCTTCTCCTGCACATATTGCCCAATGTCATACCCTACATAAAAGACCTCCCCACCCCAAACCCTCAGCACTCCTTCCCTGTACATAATGTCTGCTGTTATACCCTGCACATTCCTCTCCTGCATGTACTACCCGCTGAGACATTTCTTTAGGACCCGATCAAACTGCATGCGTTAATTGCATGATTTCATGCGATTAACACATGGTACTGCACAGCGGACCTCCCGTTCGATTACAGTAAGGGAGGTGCGTTGCCCACCATTCATTTGAATGGCACCCCAAAACACATCTCCTGCCCGCGCTGCAACACATAGTACAACAAATACCGCATGTTGCAATTGAAAAAAAATAGTGCACATTATTTTTACAACGCACGTTATTGCAGTACCGTCCGCCGATCGCACTGTAGCTGGGAGGTGTGGTTGGGGTGCCATTCAAATAAATGGCACGCAAGACACCTTCCGCACAGGAGTGTGAACGGGCCCTAAGTGTTGTTAGTTAAGTCTCTGAACTTTCCTCTTCTGGAACGGGAACCCTTTTTTAAAAATAATTAAACAACAAATGAAGAATCTCTATGGGAAAGATAAAAGGAAGATAGATCTATTTACATAAGCAAATTGTGCCAAAACTCAGCAATGTTTGTAAAACAAAATTTGTGAAATTCGTAATAGAGTTGAAAACGTTTAAATGATAATTATATTTCAATGTGAAAGATTTAGACACAAAAGTAGTGATACGGTTCAGTTCTCAGAGAAAAGGTGCCCATACACTTTACAAACCTCGCAATGCTTTTGTCTTGCGAGGGTTGTAAAGTACTTAAAAAAACGTACGATCTGTCCATCTTGGACAGGCAGATCGTACTTGCGATCATCGTACTTGCGATGACTGCAATGAGGGGCGGGCTTCAGATGACTGCAAACGGGCAGTGTGCGCATGCGCACACCGGCCCGTTCGGCAGTTGTCGAACAAGCAGGCTGGAAAACCCGCCGAGAATCGTGCGATTCTCGTACGAGAAACGTGCAGTGTATGGGCACCTAAAGGACAATAAGCTATAGGACCTTAAAGCAGAACTCCAGGCAAATCACTAAATACACAGGTGAAATCTATATACGTCAGCTGTTTTACCTGCCAAATTATTTGTATTTCTATTCATCCAGGCCCAATATTTACACAGCTCTGCCACTAAGGATAGCCCTGCCAGTTACACAGAAATGAAAAGCCCTAATACACTGGCGGTTTATCAATCACTTATTAGTAAGACATAATTGACACCACTGGACACAACCAACTGCTGTCTTTGTAATTAAGTTCTCCAGCAGCACATACCTTTCAAGCATTTCCCTGCTGCTCCATTCACCTGCCAGGTGTGAAGAAATTACCCGATACATCAAGGTATAAAGGGGAATTTTACTCACTCTCCTTCCTCTCATGTAGCAGTGCTAGCGAGTAGTTAGTGGCCCTGTGCTGTCACATGGGGTCAGAAAATCCTCATCTATTTGTAAGATTCAACTAAAGTGACAGAGCTATCACAGGGCTTTCTTTCTTCGCTCCCTAAGCTAAGGAAATAATTGGGGGAGCAATGCAAAAAATAGTGGTGATAAGGAAGGAGCATTAAAGCAAAACCACAAAAATACTTCCCATTGATAATGATGCTTCAGGCTCCCTGCAATGCTGCTCAGACCAAAAGCCTAGGTATATTTCACACAGAAATGAATGAAAGGCTGAAGCAGGAAAGCATTCCATCCTAATACTGGTTACTAACATAATTTAACATAAGTTACCCCTTCACACCCCTTAAGGATTTTGCGAGTCTTTTTCAATCTTATAAGATCAGTCGAGCAGATTGTGGAAATTCAGTAAGTCCATTAGAGAAGTACCCATAAGAACTCTACTTCTTATTAAAAAAATTGCATTTCAGAATAAAAAAAAGGTACCTGACACTATTGTAAATTGCAATTGGACTTTGTTCCTTTTCACTGGCTATACGCATCATGTCAAGAACGGCCATCCCCAGGCATTCCTCCTGTGTTTCATGTGTAATGGGCACGGTTATCCAACCATTGACAAAATCATCTCTCCACTAAACAAAAGAGAAAAGAAAAAAAAAATGGATCAGTAAATTCAATAATTGTTTTTAATCTACTATCTATTACTGAGGTTCAAATTTTGTTCACTTGCAATCCTATCTGACATAATGATGTCTGAAATGTCCACATTCATTTATGAAAAAAACAACAAATTCAAGCCCTTTCTTCACTTGGCTTAGCATCACTGGAGCCTGTTACACTGCAATATTTCTAATATTCACAAAGTCATTCATTGCATAATACTGATTAACAAAGTAATTGAAGAAATACAGTGGAAGACAGCTTCAGGCCAGGTTCACACCATTATCTGGATCAGACCTGGAACACATTTCCATGTGTTCCAGTGCATTCCAGAACCCGGAAAATGAGACAAGCAGTATTTTTCTGGTCTGGACCGAAACGGACTGTGCCGGAGTGAACAGAGCCCAGAAATACCATAGGGATACATTGGGATGCTTTTTTCGGTCTGGGAACAAACTGTCCTGGTCTGGACATGATCCGGACATGGGGTGAACATGCCTTGAGGCCTCACCACAAAACAGAGCAGAGCAGAGCAGAGCAGACAGGAGGCACACACAATATTTGACTAGACTAACCACTAGTGAATACATTTTAATTCAAGTAATAGGTGAAAATCATTTTAAAAAAAAGAAAATGTTTTGAACTTTTTAACTCCCAAGTTTTTTTTTTAAATCAAAATGTTAAATTATAAACAGATTCTGTTTAATAGGTGCAGTAGATGGATACTTCACATGACATTAGGGATGCACCGAAATATCGTCCGCCTAAATATATGCGCTGAAAATGACACTTTTGGCAAAATAATTAAAGTACAATTTTTCGGCCAAAATGGCAGCGCATCCATAGTTTCTATCCTCCTCTGATGCAGCGCAGCGTCCAGCATGGAGGGAAGAAACTGTCAAGAGTTGGGTGGGGTGGAGAGCACTGCGAGTGTCACAGGAGGCTGAGCTCTCCTCCCGCACCTCTCCGCTCAGCCTCATGCCCAGATCAGGAGAGCAGTGTGTGGGCGGAGACAGAGGGTGTGGGAGGAGAGTGGGGGGGGGGGGGGGGGGGGGGGAGCTTAGTCTAATTTGACAGCTGACTCCTCTCCCTCACCCCTGGTTCGGTCTCCAGTGACAGTGAGTGACTGACTGTTTGTAAATAACTGGAAAATAAATAAATGGTAGTATAGAGTTACTATGTACCAGTTATGAATAAATAGGAAGTGATCTATATCACTTCCTGTTTATTCATAATTATGTACATAGTAACTCATATTATGTCCACAAGTTATGAATGAACACGAGCACTCAGTACTCAGCATTCCTGTTCATTTACAAAAGGGTATGCAGAAAAAGAGATTCTGTACTCTGTGTCCTCAATATTTTCCTATTTTAAAAGGGAAATATCAGGGGTCTGATATTTCACCAAAGCCCCCAGCAGTAAAGTTTAAAAAAATGTTTAATAAAAAAATAAATATAATAAAAAAATTACAAAGTTTATTTTAAAAAAAAAAAGAAAACATTTAAAACATTTTTTTAAATGTTAAAAACAAAAAATTATTTTCGTTTTCGGCTGATGCATTGTGTATTACAGACAAAATTTGAACACCTAAAAAGGTTTTTTTTATTTTTAACTTTTTAAATTTTGCTCAGTGCAACAGCTGGTCACTGGATACAATGCATTAAAACAGCTTTAAAAAAAATAAGTAATTTGTAGAACAGTCACACAGCACATAAGCACTTAAAAATTGCTATAATAAACAGGAAAAGAAAACTAAATAGAAGTATAAATTGTACTTGCAACAAGTTTGTATTAGGCATACATACATTTTGAAAAGAAAAAAAAAAAGGACCTTCCACAATTAAATCATAGTTCAGTGCTAAAAGAACACGAGTAGCCTCCATAAAATCTAAACCACTTGTAGCCATCAGACTGTATTAAATCTTGGGGCTATATATGGATAGTATACAGAGCACAAGGGCTCAAACAAGCCACAAGATAGTTAGACTCTTAGAATAATGATTACTTCTAACAGTAATAATAAAAGCTGACTAATTCAATACCAAGGAGGCTTAATGGTCTATTCTAAATAACAAAAACAGATATTTATAGCTCAGACCATCATGGACATATAAAGTCCAACCATTCTTTTGTGGGAGTGCAGTTGCAAAGCTCCTGCATCTAACACTGCATAGAGTCTATAATCAACCACATTTTGTGGGGAAAACATACATACACATTACCGTATATACTCGAGTATAAGCCGAGTTTTTCAGCCCATTTTTTGTGCTGAAAAATGCCCTCTCGGCTTATACTCGAGTCAGCGTCTCGAGCTGGTCAGGTTTCTTCTTACTTACCTCGCCGAGCGTCGTGTCACTGCTGCTCCGGTGGGCGGCGCTCCGAGCGGGGTCATCTGGCAGTCTCCGGGTCCTAATTTAGGTGGCCGGAGACTGCCAGATGACCCTGCTCGATACATATAGAGTGCACTGAACAATAGATTTACAATTATCCTCTGCTAATATGAATGGGTTAAATGATCCGTAGTACATGATATGTAGCCCTGTACCCCCTTTTCCACTTACAGAGCTAGGTTATTGTTTTTCTTTTAAATATTCATGTAATTTTATTGGTATCTATCTTCATTTTGTACATTTACCAACTCTCAGCCATACAGTTTAGATGGTAAATAAACCTCAGTAAGTATATCACTCATTTCAGCAACATACCAAGCAGTTATTATTTAAAAGGCACAGGGGACTTTTTGGCCCCTTTCACACGGGCTGAACAGGAGAGGATCCGTGCACAGATGCCCTCCTGATCAAAGCAGTACGGAGCGGATGTCACCGCTGTGACATTTGTGTCCGTAGTTTTTTCCTCCATTGCAAACGGAAACTGCCAGACCCCATGTTGGTCTATCGGGAATCTGATGTAAACAGACATGTTTCCCTATCAGGAAAAATCTGGCACGAACAGGTCGGGCAAAGCAGATCTCTGATCCATCTGTTTCTGTGGACCCGGCCGGAGCGGGGGTTAACTGGGTGTAAACGGATGCTCGTCGGGTTTCCACACTGCTGCCCATAGACTAGCATTGGGCATCCGATCGGGTCACACCTACATAAAGTGACACTAAACTCAGAAGTTAACATGATATCAAACCTTTGATTTTTTTTTACTTTTGAAAAAGAGAAAGCCCACACGATGATACATGATTTTGTAGTTCTTCGTGCTTTTTTTAATCTTTATTTGTTCGCCAAACTGCTCCCCTCCCCCCTTGTTGCGGGTGTCTCCATTCGCTAGCCAGGTCCTGAGGAGACACCCATGCGTGTGTGCTCCTGTGCTGTGACCGAGTCTGATGTGTGCACCCATAAACACATACAGCCCGTGGCAAACCATGCCCCCCGCTCCCTCCACCACTCAGTCTGACTAACGGCAGAAGCCTATGTCTCCTCTGCCCTCAGTACCCACCCCCACAACAAGGAATCGTTCACGATTCTCAATATTGATTAAATTGATAAGTTGCTGCAGCCCTACTTTACAACACACACACGAGGACCAGAAGTAGGCAGCCTCCAGAAGGAAGGACAGTGTCAGCACCAATTCAGAGATGATTTGAGGTTCTACAGCCGAGTGATACTCAAAGATACATTTTTGTTAATATTTATGGTACTTGAATAGATTAAGATTTAACTCCTGAGTTTAGTGCCACTTTAACGGACTTGGGAGGTGTTTCTATGCATGCTCCTTGTTCATCTACAGTTTCATCATAGGCTTCCTGTCCATCCCTGTATAGGAGTTACACTATTTATACAGCATATTTTAAATGCCATGTAGATTTTATTCATCTCATAGTGCCATTCAACCACCAAGTGTGGAGGTTCATCTTAGTGTCCACAGCATGACCACATTATATGTATGAATTACAACTAAATAGGTGATTTCGTCAGAATAACTGAACTTTTGCAAACTGCATGTTCTCTTCAACCTGGATCACATATAAAGAAAACTTGGTATACATCATGATAACAATCAAATGAAATATGTTAGCTAAGTCAATTGAAAAAAAAACAACATTTTATGTTCACATACAAAATAAAGCCCCTAAAAAATGTGTATGACAATTTGCGTGCCACTGATTTCATATTAACATTCAACAAATAAATAGTCACATGATCCTAAAATGATAAGGAGTTGAATGAACAAAGGCTATTTAGGGAGCAAAAAAAAAAAAAAAATCTCTTGTGTAGCTCGGGCATCAACAGTCAACACACTGACTCCAACTCTGCACAAAAGATTAAGAACATAATTGGGAACATGCTGTCCTTTCTCTGGACAAAGAACTTCGCAAAGGCAAGAAAAAGCAGTTTATTCTAGCTGCAAAATTAGATATTAGAAACGGAATATCTATAAACACATTTTCTTTTCTTGCAAAAGACAGTAATATAATTATGTGCCGTCTAAAAAAACATTTAAAAGTGACATTAAAGGATAAATCCCTCCCCCCATGCTAGTGTAAGGACTTAAATGATGCCTCTTGATCTGATTATCTTCTTCTTTCCAGTAGTATTCAGTTGTCCCTCCAGCGCAGGTGCCGGTCTCAGATCCAGTGCTGACTCCTCTCTTAACTGGCACTTCCTGTCCCACGAAGTCTGTGCGGGTGCACGCTGCTGCATTGACTTACCCTGTGTCCCTCCTCGTCTCCCTGAACTGCGCATGCGTCTGCCCCAAGATCCTTTGCGGCCGACTGAGAATCTTCAGATCTTCGGACGGCAGTGTGCGGCGGAGACACAGGTAAGTTTTAACCCTTTTGAAAAGTTTTTTTTTTTTAAATGTTTTTCCAAGAATGTTTAAGGGCCCGTTCACACCAAAATCAGAAGGTAATAGTGAGTCAACGGAGGGACCAGTGACTTGTGATGTACCTTCTGATTTCCTTTTGATCCTTTGCTTTCTGTTTTTCAACGGATGCCAACACAAGGGCACCGCAAAAGTTAAT